TCAGTTTTTAAAGTCAATTCAATAAAGTATTGTTGTAATTTTTCATTAACATAATTAATACAAAATTGTTCGAATCCATTAACTGGGAAAATTTCAAATCCAAAGATATCAAGAATACCAATGACACATTGATGTTCTATTCCATGTTTTTGTAATGCAATATTAACTTTTTGAACTAACATAGTGAAAATTCTATCATAAATTTCTTTTGCAATAGCATTTTTAGTTGCTTCAGCTTGTTCAACTGTAAGTGGTGAATCAAAAACTTCAGCTCTAGCCCCTACTCCAGTAGTTAATTTTCTAACTAACATAACATGTTCAAGTTGTCCTGGATCTACTTCAAGAAGATAAGCAGCAGTTTCTAATGCAGACCTATCTGTAATTTCAGCATATCCAGATGAATTTTCAGTGAAATAAACATTTCCTAAATGAAGAATAGCAGCAACTAATTGGAATATCCAATATTGTTCATCAACGGAAATACCAATAGTGTTCATAGCTTTAACACAATCTGCGTAATCTTTTTTATCATCAATACCCTCAACCACCATACAGTTAGATTGATTAGTATAAACAAAATAATCAGGTGTAGTTAAATAAAAATCATTATAATAATTTTCTGGTGCACCAGCTAACAACTGATAAAAAATATGATAATTTCTTTCTCCAGTTTGTTGTGTACAAACACGTGATTTTTCAAGAAGATAATTTGTAATTGTTCCTCCAACTGGATCAGCATGATCATCAAAATTAATTTCAAAGTATTTACCAAAACGTGATGAGTTATTATTTCTTAATGTTTTAGCATTTCCAAAAGCCTCTAGTAATGGGTTGGAATCTAAAATAACGTTTTTAACATAAACAACTTTCTCATTTCCACCAGAAACAGCTGCAATATATTGCATAATTTGTTTAGCTGCAACTGTTTTACCAGCACCAGATTCTCCTGAAATAATACAACATTGATTACACTTTTCATTTTTCATATTTCTGTATGTCTCTTCTGATAAAGCAAAAATGTGAGGAGGAAGTTCTTGTCTAAATTTTCCTTTATACAAATGAACATATTCATCAGTAGTTAATCCAAGATCTTTAAATGGATTAATAACAATAAGCACTGGTCCAATATTAGTATAAATAGCATCATAATTGTATCTTTTCTTTAAGTTATCTACAATCTCATTTTCATCAATTTTTGGTAACATCACAAGATCATCAACCCCTTTCTGAACAAATCCTTTTTTACTCTTAAAAGCAGCGATTTCATTCTCCCTTTCTTTTTCTGTATTTCTCTTGAATCCTACACTCATATCTTTTTATTATCTATTTTTTTAGATGAAACTCTTTATATCTTGTATTTCCATCAACTTTGTAGTTCTTAACTCTGTCATTTGTTTCTGTTTTTGTCCATTTATTTTTCAGTTCTTAATTAGTACTATTTTAAGATATTTTAGTGGTTATTGGTTTATTACACCATCATTGATAAAAAGAAAACTTTCATTAATTTCTTTATAACATTTACAGCACCCTTCATAAAAAGTACTAAAAACAATTACTCATTAACTTTAGTTATGTATAATGAAAATAAAACAACAAAAATATAAGAACTAAGAAAAAGAATATGAATAATCAAGTGTTTGGTGCCTTATTAGAAGATGTTCCATTAAAAGAAGGACTTCCATTACCGGTATATGACTCATTAAAATATTTTAAAGAAAATCCGACGTTATTAGAAACAGAAGGATTATTTAGAATACCAGGAAATATGTTAGTAGTTAATAATTTAAAGAAAGAGTACAACGAAGGAAAAGAAGTAAATTTAGAAGGAGAAAATATTCATACTATAGCTTCATTATTTAAATTATATTTTAGAGAATTACCTGATAGTTTAGTTACAGAAGAAAATACTGATTTATTTCTTGTATTTATTGAATTAGATAAAATAGATAAAAATCAAACAATTAAAAAATTACAAAATGTATTAAAAGAATTACCACTGTTTGTAACATTCTTTTCTTATT